GGCCGGATTGGAAAAAAAAAAGCCTGCCGAGTCCCTGCTAGCCAAAAATCTGGATATACGCCAGCTTAAACCATTACAGCCTCTCAGACAGCAAAGAAACGAAGCACCCCTTTACATTCAGAAAGTGAAAGTCTTTTTTCCTCCTTTAAGGGTCAAAATTACAGTGAGTCTGACTTAAAACGACTCTGTCAAACCCACCTCAGTTTACCCCCGCTGGAGCCCTTTCAGAGCCCCAGCTGGTTAAATGCAAAGAAAACTCAGAGCTGCTTCCCCGTGGGCGGGGAGCTTGGACTCTCCTTGCTGTGCTTTTGGCATCCAAACCCATAACCACATTTTAGGGCCGCGTTTGCAAACACTTTCTGAACACAACTATCTTTTCCCACGCACGCGCACCTTTTCTGGGTAAAACCTGGCTGTTTCCTCCCCTTGCAGTCAGCGTCTAACGGCAGCGGGCGAGCAAGAACTTGTGCTGCCCCACCGGTGACGTTCCCTCCTCTCCTCTCTTTAGAGCATACACAAGGACCTGGAGGAGAAGATTGCGCGTTTCCACCAGCGGGAAGACGCCATTCTCTATGCCAGCTGCTTTGATGCCAACGCTGGTATCTTTGAGGTTTGTTGGGCTTTCCTTGTGTTACAGAATCAGAGAATCACTTTGGTTGGAAGAGACCTCTGGGATCATGGAGTCCAACCTTTGCCCTAACACCACCATGTCAACTAGACCATGGCACTAAGTGCCACGTCCAGGCTTTTCCTAAACACCCCCAGGGATGGTGACTCCACCCCCTCCCTGGGCAGCCCATCCCAATGCCTAACGACCCTTTCTGTGAAGAAATGCCTCCTCATTTCTAGCCGGAACTTCCCCTGGCGCAGTTTCAGACTGTGCCCTCTTGTCCTGTGTTGTGCGTGGAAGAGAAGGGTGATGGTGATGTGCCTGCCGTGCCTTCCAGAGGCTCTGATGTGAGCTCTGTGCTGCAGAAAAGATGGCAGTGAGTGACAGTGGAGAAGCCTGACTTGATGCCCTTGGACTGGGGAAGCCATACGGAGCTGTTTAATCAGCCCTCGCCTCCCCCTTCCCCAGCCAGCTCCAGCTTTTGGGGAGGGTTCCCATTTCCCAGGAGGTCTGTACTCCCCCTTGAAGTGTAGGTGCGGGGAAGGGGTGATCCCCCAGGCTTGCTAGGGAAGAGGAGGGAGGTTTTGACCTCAGAAGCCACAGGCAAGAGCCTGGCCTAAGGAAATCAGAGAGCTGGGAAGGAAAGTGGAAGGTTTAGCGGTGCCAGGAGAGACGTGGCAGCTGCAATCAAACACAGCTTTGTCCTCTGCACTGAGGGAGGCTGGAAGGTCTCGGTGAGGTGGTGACTCGTAGCAAAGGATGATCCTTTCTGTTTGGTGCGGCCAGGCCCTGCTGACCCCAGAGGATGCAGTCCTGTCGGATGAGCTAAACCATGCCTCCATCATCGACGGGATCCGCCTGTGCAAGGCTAACAAGTACCGTTACAAGCACATGGACATGCAGGACCTGGAGGCCAAGCTGCAGGATGCACAGGTACGGAGGTCTGCTCCCACCCCAACGTGAGGGTGCTCGCGTAGCTGTGCTGCCTGCGCGGTAACCAGCCCCAAAGGGTGAGCTCTGCCTTTTCCCATGCCATAGGCATCGGTTTTGCCAATAGGCGCAGGTAGGCATGGATGGGCAAGGTGGGGAAGCAGCTGGTTGCAATGCAGATCCCCCCATCTCAATTAGATATATCCAGTCTCTACAGGAGTTGAACTATGTCCTGGTCTCCTTCACCAGCCCCTCTCCTCAGGGTGACAGTTTCACCCCTGGGGATGCCGTTCTCCCTCCCATAGAAACATCGTCTGCGGCTGGTGGCCACCGATGGTGCCTTCTCCATGGACGGTGACATCGCACCCCTGCGGGAGATCTGCCAGCTGGCCCAGAAGTATGATGCCCTCGTCTTCATTGACGAATGCCATGCCACAGGCTTCCTGGGACCCAATGGCCGGTAAGTGGCCGTTTCAACCCTGTTTCTTCCCCCAGCGCTGACTACCTCTGAAGCAAGGCCAAGGGTGCTGATGACCAGCATATTTTTGTGTGGGGACTCCCAGAGCCACCATTTCGTGAAGGCTTTGCACCCCACCTTTGAGGCACCTGAGAGGATTGAAGAGAGATGCTTTAGCAATGACCCATCCCAACGTGACAGCTGCTTCTCAGTGCATAAGGGATGGTGCAACCATCTCATCTCTCTCTCCTGGCAAGCAGTTGGACTTCCTGATTTCGGAATCCTTCTCTCAAATATCACTTGCCAATGCTTAGATCTTGGGGATTTTTGTGGAGTTAGCTTGCACAGATTGATTAATTCCCTCAGGGCAGCTTTTCCCTCTGTCCCCTGGAGATCCTCCAGGTGCCAAGCAGTGCACTTGCTGCAGGTGTTGGCTGAGAAGAGATGCTTCACGTGCTTGTTTTGTTCAGGGAGATGAGCATGAAGCGTTCCGTTGCGTGGTCCTTCCTGCTCACTACTAGAAGGTAGAGACCTGTGTGAGGCAACACCTGTAGGAATGAGCAATGGGTCCCTCCTCAGATGGAGGGATAGTGCAGGAGATGATGAGGAGAAAGCCATCTCTGAAAAAGCCAAAAGTCGCTCTATGAAGAGCTCCCTTCCAGCTCTCTCCCCTCTAGACAGGTCTCACGTGGGAAGCTCGCAAATCCACCTCAAGCTGTGAAATGGGTGAGAAGTGAGAACTAAGCAAGAAAACGTGCCTCGTTTTCTCACCAGGGTCATGGCAAATGTTTCATCCTGGATCAAAATGATGCTGCGAGAGGCATCTTTTAAGAGAAGGAATACCACTCCTGGTGGCATTTCATCACTAACAAGAGATGTGATTGTGCTGAGCTTTAATGTATTCCAGACCCTGTAGCTGTACTGAGCTTTCTCAAGTTTACGTCTTCATAAGGAAGAAATCATAGGATGATCTGTTTGTCTTGTAATCTTCCTTGGGGCATGGTAGCCATCCTGTGAGTTGAGGTAGACCTCGCTCTGTCCCAGTGGGCTCTGTCGTCCCACCAGCTGCAAAAACAACTGTTGGACTGCACTGAGGTGTGTAAGTGCATAATGGCTTGAGGAAGAGGGAACGGTTACCCAGCACTTCACGAGTTGGGCTAGGTTGAGTGCGAATCTGATGCTGTTGTCTATAACACTGTGTTTCAAGGTAGCCAACAGCTGGGTGGCCATGCCCCATCCTGCCTTTTTGGGCTGGAGGATGTGATGCTGCCGAGCCTGTTTGCCATGTCAGGTTGGTTCCACTAGCGTAGACATTGACACGGGTACTTTAGGCCTGTGTGCGTTTAGGGCAGCACCTCAGCGATGTGCACAGCCTGCTTCAGAGGACGTCAGCTACTCTAGCCAGGCAACTGGTTTTCCCTGGTGTTTGCTAACGGTGCGGTCCGTCAGAGGTGTGTGCAAGACCTACATGGATGGCTAGTGCTCTGTTTGGACTGTTAAACTTCTGTGCAGGAAGTTTGAGAGCTCTCCCATCTATAAGAGATAAAGAACTCACGCTCTTATCTCAGGAGATCCCAGCTTAGCCTTTTTACAGGAGCAAGGAAGGTCAACACTTGAGTTGAACTACCATGGTGGGAGGTTCTTCCTTTTAGCAGAAGGGGGGACACCAGAGACCTGGCTGGTGGCACTTTGTTTCCCTTGAGGCGTCAGGTGTAGAGCAGCTTCCCTGCTGTGTGCTGGCACGGCTGATAATGTGACATTCCTTTTTCTACAGGGGTACCGATGAGCTCCTGGGAGTGATGGACAAAGTCACCATCATCAACTCCACCCTGGGAAAAGCTCTTGGAGGAGCTGCAGGTAAAGGCATTCTCCCGTCCAAGGCCTTCCACGCCCTAAAGAGCTCCACAGCATCGCTTTGATGTTTCCTTCCTCTGCCTAATGATAGAGCAACAAATGCATGCTCTCCTTTTCAACTGGTGGCATGAGACTCAGTTCGGGACCCTGCTGCAGGGTCAAGGGAGGTCCTGCCATGTGCTCCTTCCGCTGTCATCTTCCCCATGCATTTGCCTTTGGGGTCAAGGTGGAAATTCTTGGTAAAAGGCATCAACTGTGATTTTATTTTTTTTTTTAAGCCTGGTTTGTAGTGAAATTCCTTCTGTAGGTGGCAGGTTGGCTTTATCGAGGGCCCCCCCTCTGACCAGGTCACCTTGAGGTACCTTGTCCATTTTTCTTTCCTCCATCTGCAGGTGGGTACACAACTGGCCCCAAACCCCTCATCGATTTGCTCCGCCAGCGTTCCCGCCCATACCTCTTCTCCAACAGCCTACCCCCCGCTGTGGTGGGCTGTGCGTCCAAGGCCCTGGACCTGCTGATGGAGAGCAATGCCATCGCACAGTCCATGGCTGCCAAGACCCAACGGTGAGGGGGCCGTCTTGGGGTGGGAGCAAGGGGGAGAGGTTCGTTAGGAATGAGTTGTCCCAGTGTGTTTATTCACCCCTCGGTGATAGCCGTGAAGGTAGTTTGCAAGTTGTGGCCTGGAGGTGCTCAGGGAAAACGACAGGATGCATCTGTGTGTGTCAGACAGATGTGCAGGCAGATGTGTCACATCTGGATGCTCCGTGTGCTGGGATGCATCTGCCCCTCAAGCAGCTGCAGTGTCATGAGGCTGAGCAGGAAATGGCAGGAGGTCACTCCAAAAAGAGAGATCCCTTCCCTGCACAGGAGATGCACGGTGGAGCAGAACCACTCCCAGCCCTCGGTGGCCAGGGCTCCCAGGGGAAAGCAAGGCGGTGGTCCCCAAGGACAGGGGCGATGAGGTTGTACTCATCCCTTTGTTCTCTCCACCAGGTTCAGAAGTAAGATGACAGCAGCCGGCTTCACCATCTCAGGGAAGGACCACCCCATCTGTCCTGTCATGCTCGGGGATGCTCGGCTGGCTGCAGTGATGGCTGAGGACATGCTGAACAGAGGTGAACCGGGGAGGGAGCTCTGGATGCAGACACATGCCCTGAGGGAAGGGACAGCTGGTGGTGCTGCCACCACCACCCCTCATCCAGATGATATTCCTGCATGAAAGCTGTTATTTCTCTGCCCTCCAGCTACAAATGTCCTTCTAGTCTCCCCCAGATGTTGCTGGCTTCACCTCCTTTCCATGCTGGCGACGGGGTTTACGTTAGCCCTCTTGTCCTGCCATGCTGGACTCCATCCCCATCACTGGGCCTAATCCTCATTTTCATTCTTGGAAGCAGATGCCACTTGAAAATCCTGAAGCCTGGAAGTGGTTACTGAGAAGGGAGGGAGGATCCAAAAGCTTTTCTGTCTCCCAGTACCGCCTCAGCCTCCCTCTCTCCCAGCCAGCTCCGACTCTCCCTGTGTTTCCTCCCCAGGCATTTATGTCATTGGCTTCAGCTACCCCGTGGTCCCCAAGGGAAAGGCCCGCATCCGCGTCCAGATCTCAGCTGTGCACAGCGACGAGGACATCGACCGCTGCGTGGAAGCCTTCACCGAGGTGGGACGGAAACACGGAGCACTGCCTTGAGGGGCCAGCAAACACCTCCTCCGGCACTGTCCCTGCCCACAACCAAGTGCCTCTGCCGGGGCAAAAGGCTTGAGCAGCGTGTTGCTGAAAGCAGGACCGATCCTCAAGGCATCGCAACCTGCGGGAGGCTGTGGCTGTTGCAGTGTGCTGGCAGCAGCACTGGCAACCAGCTCTTGTGTCATTAAAGACGTCCTGCATTGCAGTGGATATTTGTCCGGCTCTTGGTTTTTCATCCAGGAGCTGCAGCCCATCCCCGTCCTCTCTCACTGTGCCTGGACACTCTGCTGGGTCTTCCCTGAAGCCTCAGTCCGGGCGCTGAAGCTCTCTCCTGCCGATGGAAGTGTCGCGTTGCTGGTATGCCCAAGGTTGCCTCCTTCATCCGCGTTCTTCTGCGGGTCCAGCAGCATCACCCCAGCAGATCTACCTGCTGTAATCCCTTACCGAGGCAGGGGGGTTCCCCAAGCCCTTGGCAACCCATACCACTAGCGGCTAGTTTGGGAAAGAGGACATGGGCCAACCAAAGCTCTGGTGCGTCTTTCTCCCCTTCTCACTCTTGGGTGTTAGGTGTGAGCCTTGCTTGGTCCCCATGGCCGGCTCTAAGGCTTTACCCATTGCTGCGGCACTCCCAAACCTGCCCTGGGACCTGCATCTCACCCCAGTGAGGCCATCGGGCAAGCCGAGGTGGCAGAGGCCAGCAGCATGGCAAGAGGGCCTGCATCTGCCTGGGGCTGAGGCCAGGGGCAGAGCAGGTGACAGAAACCTGTGATTTTCCTCCCATCAGCTGCAATTTTCGCACAGCGGAGAACACACAGCAGGCTGGGATCTCTGGATTTGTTCCTCCAAGCTTTACTGGAGTAACGATTTAGCACTCGAGCAGGAACAAGTGGGTCCTGGGCATCTCTCAGGATTGCTTTGTTTGCATCGGTTTTGCTCCAGATGAGAAATCATGTGTGTCCTGCTGTCTGCCCATGTGCTGAACTGAGGACCAGCTGCCTGCAGCTGTGGATGGGCTCCAGCCGAAATGAGATGCGTGCTGTGCTTGGGTGCTGGAGCACTGGGTCACGTCAGCAAAGACCTGCTCCGAAAATGCTGCGTGCCGTTAGGCAGTCAGGGAGTGAGCTACAGGGTGATAACGTGTCTGACCTGAACCAGAGCAACTGCAGAAGAATACAGGAGTTAATCCAGGGTTGCAGGGCTTTACGGGATGCAGAGGGCAGAGGAGAAATGCATTTTCCATAGGCCTGCTGCTGGACCTTGTTAGAGCAACTGCGTGCCGATTTTTATTTAATTTTCCATCTCCACAGGGCCCTGAGCTCAGCCTGCTGATAAAGTATGACACGGAGATCCCTCTGTGTGGCACCAGGCCCTCGCAGTGCTGCAAACCCTTCCCCCTTATCACCGGGCGGTATTTTGGGAATGGGAAAACGGCAGGAGGGTTGCGCTTAGGCTCCTCTTGCGTCCTGGAAGAGACAAAGCTTCAGCTGACTCAGACAGGGAGTTTGAGTCCCTAAACTGAATCACTGCTGTTTTGAGCCTGATGTATGTGCACCCCCTTGCTCCCCCTTACTTGCACATCTTCGTTACACACCTGTACCGTGCTCTCCTCCTCCCCTGGGTTTCTGCCTGCAGCCCTGCTGATGTCTCCGCTCTGCTCAGGGCAACCAACCCAAGGAGTTTAACCTTGCTCCAGCTTTCCAGTCCCCCGTCACTGGGAGAACAGCTGTACAGATGTCTCGCTGTTCAGCTGCAAGCAAGAGCAGCAGCAGCCTCCCTTCCCTGCAATGCGCACGCTTGGGTTTGTTGCATTCACACGTGGGCTTCCCCTCTTCTCCTCCTCCTCCTCCTCTCCTCACCAGACACCCTGACCTCCCTCTCCCCTCCGTCTCTCCCAGCTCCCTCGGGAGCCAAACCCCGGTGTTTCGGCTGCCTCTCTGCCTGTCTCCAGGCCAA